CTGGCCACGCGTCTGCTCCCTTTCCTTATTTTTGTTGGTTTCCCCGCGGAAAGGGCGGCTGTCTCACACCCAGCTTCCCGCCGGGAGGTGAGGGTGGTGGTTAAGGCCTGGCGAAGGCTTTCCAGAGGAGCGTGGTGCCCGGGGCGTGTTTTGGTGGTTGCTGAGGGGAGAGGGGAGCTGGAGCGTCCCCTGGCTGCGCCACAGGGGCGTCTGCTGCTGGGACTGCCCGTGGGCCTTGGCTCTGGTGATGGACTTTCCGCCGGTGCTCACCGTCAAAGCCCCCTGGGAGTGAAATGGCAGCAGAAACTCTCGGCAGTGTCCTTCCTTGCTGGAGCACGGCACTTGTGTCCACCGCTGGAGGGGTGTGCAGAGGGCCTCGCGCCTCTGGAAGTAGCTAAAAGCCATTTGGCGCATAAAAAGTCGGTGGTCTCTTACCTCCCAGCTTTCTTCGGCCAATAGCTCATTTTGGACAGAATTTCCCAAAGTGTTTTCACCCAACCCTACTCGTTGAGGAGAATCTCATTTGTATACTGTTGCCGTTTGAAATGCATGTTTTGCATCAATGTCTTACCTTTCTAATACAAACATTTTGAGCAACACGGTTACTGTTTGACAACAGAGGTTTTAGCTGTGCTAGTCTTGTTGTGATCCCTGGTAGGCTATCCCTTGCAACAGGGAGCAATATGTGAAGGCCTAGTGAACACAATAAAAATCAGAGACCTCACGGTAAAGGATAATTTGGAAAAGAAGGGGGTTAAAATAGAAGTATGGTCCCACCATATTGGTTCAGTTTCAATGGGATAACCAACATATATTTTATGTTGGTGAACATAACAGAGTTAATTTCCAACAGAGACAAATAAAGTGACCTTATTGAGGCAGACCCTAATGCTGAATAGTGAGAGGCTGTGAAAATGGTTACTGATGCAGCAAGTTGAACAGTTGAGATCCTGCCTGAATTTCTGCAGGTATAGAAGATAAAAAATGCAGATGCATCTGTATGGAAATAGAAATCACAGAAGAGTCATCTTTCCTGTAGAGCAACATCTATCAGTTGAGGGTTATAAATATGAGAAGTATTTGGGGAGTTTTTCCATGCTTGCAGCATCATAGAGAAAGAAATCAGGGAGGAGAGAAAGGAGGAGAGAACATTCACAAAAAGGAATGAGTTTGCAGTAGAAGTAAGGAGAGACAGGCGAGAGAACAAAGGAGGAAAACTGGGAGAGATGGAAAAGAAAAATCAGTAATATTGACAAAGGGGAAAGAAAGCGATCACCAATACCAAAGCCTGATTTTTTGAATACTGGTTTCAGTGAGTCAGAATTTCTCCTATGCTCTATTGAACGACATTTTTAAACCATGAGAAATCTCAAAATTATTTTAACAATTGCAGGAACTCAGAGGTGGAAAGAGAAAAGTGATCTGCCAGAATGCCACTGAGAGAGAGAGATGGGCCTTTCCTTTACTTAAGAACGTCATACAGCAAAAGGCAAGATTAAAGAGATTTTTTTTTGTTCAGGTCTATGACTTTGTGAATAACAGGTATTTATTGGTAAAACTTTGCCTGTTACCTTAGTATTCTGTAACTGCACCGGACAGCATGGTTAGATGGTTCTTTTCTGATGATAAGCACTTCAGATAGCTTTTATGATAGCTGTTTTTGGTGTACACTTCAAATATACCTTCAGTGAATGTTTTGTATTCTGAAGTATTTTATGGCTGATAGACTTTAACTGTTGAGACCTATTTTTTCTTATTAGCGTTTTCTGAAATTCCTTCTGTTCTCTTTATCCTTTTTTCCCCTGGATATTTCCAATATCTTGTTCAAAATGTTCCAGATGGGGGTCATTTCAGTCCTTTATGCAATGCATAATAACAAGAGAAATTAATAGATTATGTGAATTTAAGGTCACTGTAGTTTTTACAGGGTTATTATTTTAAATGTTCTTTGGCTTTAAGCTATTTCCATCTTACTAGATGTGCATGGTTAGTTGAAGGACCTGTTGAATCTGTTTAGAGTTGCAAGTACGTAATGAGCTTTCATGCTTTTTTTGGTATTTGCTTTTGGTATTTTTCCACTGCATAATTACACTTTATGTGAGGGTTACTTATTTTGGAGAAAATATAGGCCAAATTTTTTTCGTGTTGTATAAGTAAGTGTTAGCTTTGTTTTATGCTCATATAATTTATAGCAGGATTTGTATCGTGTTTTACCACATAAATAAAATACGGGTTTTTTTCTTGATTTAAGGAAAAATCTCCAAGGTACTTAAAATCTCAAGTGTAACAGTTCTAAATAAAATGTAAATAGCACAAGACACAAGACTTGTGTGCTACTACCAACGGTAAATAAATATTATGTGGAAAATCTCCTGTCAGAAAACTAGCTTACTTGGTTTGTAGAAACCTCCTCCGATATGTTGTGACATTCACTGGAAGACTTAAAAACAATTTATAGCAGCACCTAAATAAGGCCCTGAAATTATCAAATTCTGTGTATGTGTTCAGCCTTTTGCGTGATGAGTGGTAAACTGACTTTAGTAGGTTTCCTCAGGATATAAGATAATGATTTGAAGTATACAGCAGTGAATATGAAAAAGAAAATTCATTCTGATCTTAGCAGATGATCAGTTTATGCTTGACATCTTAGATGCACGAAATTGTTTTTTTGGTCACCGTGGCTTTCACATGCTAACACCAATCCCAAATTATCTAATCTTGGCACAGTACCTCACATGATGATAATCTCAACAACAGGAAATTCTACAAGTTTGGTCTATACTTCTATAAAGTATACTTCATTTCAGTGTCTCTAAATTAGCTTTCCTTAGCGTGTCCCTAATTTTAATTTTGATGGAATAAAGACTGCGTAATTCCAATTACAGAATGTGTTACTGTTTTCTGTGGAGCTAAAAAAATGCCTAGTACATCATTTTTAAGGACTCAGGTCCGATCTCATCTAGATCGGCAAGCATTGCTGTGTTTCTTGTCAGATTCGCTTAGTAGCTGATTTTACATGATTTTACACAGCGATAGGCGCTGGGATATCTTGGGTCAAAATCAGGTCAAGGTACTTGATCAGATACAGTTCATTTCAGAAGTGGGTAAAGATATGGTGCAGTTTGTTCCAGGATATTAGAGGTCAAAACTGACATTTCGGCTGTTAATAACCCGTGAAATACAATACAATACAATACAATTATTTGTATTGAGCGGTCACTATTTAATAATCGACATTCATGAGAAGCTGGGATATGTTGACATATGAACATCCATTGCATTTTCCTGCATTTAGAACATAGAATCATAGAATCATAGAATCATAGAATCATTAAGGTTGGAAGAGACCTCCAAGATCATCGAGTCCAACCGTCAACCCAACACCACCATGCCCACTAAACCATGTCCCTAAGCGCCTCATCTACACGTCTTTTAAATACCTCCAGGGATGGTGACTCAACCACTTCCCTGGGCAGCCTGTTCCAATGTTTAACCACACACAAGGCATATAGCTTCATGATCTGAGACTCATGAAAAATATGGTGTTGCTGCAGCTTCGTGTTTCCTTGCCAGCAGCAAGATTTTTTTTAAGATAAAGCAGCATCCCTGTAGCTGGCTCTCTCCTTCTCAGCAGGTTATTTTTGTGGTCATGGCTGTGTGGGTCTAGTTACGTGTTTTGTTCTAGGAGGGTAGTCTGTGTCTCACAAGCACGTCTAGGTTTTTGACTGAAAATCCACTTTAGAATGAATACAGTTGGTAACAGCACTAAAGCATCCTGCAGGATTTTTTTCCCTTTAATGATCATATGAGGTCTTTTTATAGGGAAAAGCTTCGTGAAATACATCATGGAAACTAATTATTTAGAAATAAAGGTAGCCAAGGAACTGAGAGGTGACTTTGCTCATAGCATCTCATAGGGCCTCTGAGTCTTTAAGTGGCACCATTTTCATGCCATATAGAGCTGGAGGTTAAACTTCCCTTTCTGTAAGAGTAACAGTGTTAATCCCAAGAAGCTGGTTTTGCAAACTGGATTCCCCCCTTTCCCCCCTTTCCCCTGCCCCAACCATGGGAGGTTTTGCTTTTATCCGGGAATCCCAGCCATTGCCACAGCCTTGTGCCACAGCCGCAGCAATGAAGTGGCCCTC